CGCAGGTCATCCTCTGTTCCTATCCAGCACCAACTTCCGACACAGCTCTCAGCGGACAGCAACGTGGCGCTCAAGTTCAACTGGCACGCTAACTCAGATCGACCGCATAGCAGTAAGCTACCGTTGTTCGTGGCTCAGTACAAAAGTGCAGGTCCTATTGAACGACCTGCGTTGAATCTGATCATGCGTTAGTTTTGATGCACTTCACTTTCCAATGCACTGGTTGCAGAGAACCTCACCAAACTCCGTCGGCAGATCATCGTTCATCTGACCCAGCCGTTCTTGCCCGTTTTTAATCAGAACTAGGGCAAGAGCTAAACGCGCTACAGCGTGGTACTGTAGGTGAATAGTGGGATCAAATTAGACAAGCAATGCACTCCGCAGCGACAGTTGCTCGTAGGTCTGAAGCGGTAATCCGTCCGAGGCATTGGATATCTGATGAATCAGTGACACTGATGGAGAAAAAGCGGCAAATCCCGTCCTCCCAGGATCAAGGCAGGAGTAGGTGGCGTATGCAACATCAACTCACGAGGAGCCTCAAGAAAGACCGTGAGAACTGGTGGGTAGTGATAGCTAGTGAAATGGAAGTTGCAGCTGCATCAAGGAACAGTCGAAGACTGTTCCAACTAATACGCAACACTGGAGGTCGGTGAACCACAGTTAGTGAAACAATCTGCAACAAAAGTGGACAAGCTATTCACAATAAGGAAAAACGCCTGGACCGGTTGGCGGAGTACTTCAACAAACAGTTCAACTGGCGAGGCGCTAACCAAACTATCTCGTCTGGTTTAGTTGAGGCTCTATTGGAAGTATCATGTGAATCTCCTGCTGTAGCAGAGGTTCAATCTTGCATCTAAGCCCTGAAGAAAGGAAAATCAGCAGAGAAAAGCTGTGCGATTTGGAGTACGCTGATAACATGGTTTGCTTGTTCGAATCTATGGAGGATGCGCAAATAGCACTTAACAGATTAGCAAGTTCTATCTCTCCGTACACGGCGTGTGCTTCGCCCTTCAAAGTGCGAAATGATGCTGCAAGATTGAGTGTCGTCGAGTTCCGTTCTGAAACTAGACGGTCAGGATTTAGCTGAAGTTGACTGCTTCTCGAACTCGGGTAGCTACCGGACCAACGACTGTAGTGCATCAAAGGAGATAGCCGCCAGCATTTCCAAGACTCGAGCAGCGTAAGCAGGACTTAAACATCTGTGTCGGCGACATGACGTATCACTGAATTTGAGAAGTGGCGTATGCTGCGCCACTTTACGATTCTGAGACCTTGAATTTGCGGGTAGAAGACATCTGTCGTTTAGCAGTGTTCGACAATCGTTGCCCAAGTGGGATGGAATGATCGGGTTAGTAACTTGATAGTAAGTCGTCGGGTGTTTGGGAATGCGGTGAACACGACCCCGCTATCGTATCAAATTCAGCTCAATAGGCTCCGTTAGTTAGGACACGTTTTGCGTATGTTCGACTGTCGCCTATCGCAGCGGGCGTTATTGGCAGTGGCTGTTTATAGGTCGGAGAAAGCCACGTGAAGGCCAGCGGATGACGTGGAGATGAGGCATGCAGAAATGTACAGAGCGGTTAGGTAGAGTAGGTGTCTCTCTTCTGTCGGGGTGGGATCCAAAAGATTCCACAACTGGTTGGTTAGAGACACTAAAGGTTATGGTAGCAAACCAACAGCAATAGCCTCACTTCTTATCGGACCAGAATGCTTGAAATAGTTTTTATGCACAGTTGAACTGTTTACTCTGTGTTGACCATTGAGGTTGGCTTTCTTTTCCCGTCCCTAAAGGTAAGTCCAATCCCTATCCTTCTTAAACATTTTCACTTACCTTGTACACAATATGAGTTTGACTGCGATCAGTGAAGTTCGCTTCACCGTATTACGCTGTACAATGATGATGATGATGATAGTGATGGTTTCATCACAAATGGGATGGATTATTCAATTTCTATCGTTTTTTACCCATGTTCACAGTCATTGAGCGTTTTACCGAAGCTTAACCTTAGATGCTTATATAAATAATCTGGATATAATTTAATACAGTTGTTTCAGATACGACTAATAACTAATAACCAAAATTCTAACCGTGTTTGAAATGGTTACGCAAACTCACCGTAAATCATTCTTCTCGCTTGAAGTCGATTACTTGTTATCAACCATTCGTATGTAATCGGGCTGTTGTGTGTATTTCTCATGTGTTTCCGCTCTTAGACCTCTCCAGGGCGCGATGAACAGACGAGCTGTGGGTCGTGGTGTGCCTGACGGTGATATGTGCTCCCCGGTAATCGACTTAACTGATGATGTGAGTGGTTCGGAAAGTTTAGACGAGTCCATGGAGAACGCGGATGCGGTGAACAATCTGCGTATCAGCGGTACCCTCGGCCCCGGTCTGCATTCCGCGTCCCGTGCCATACTTCGTGGTGCAGGGACACTGGATGCCCAAACACTTTATCACACCCATCTGCGTCGTCGAGCCAAATTGTCCGACGCGGTCGGTCCTCGTGTGGCTGAGCTCAGTCACATCCCGTCCCGAATTGCACGTCGTGTGGTTACACGTGACAACTCTCACCCACTCCAACCTGGTGTTCCCTTCGGCATGGAGCTCAACGTTCTGGGAGAGCCGGTGCCTACGGTCTGTCCAAATGTGACTGTGGATGCATCAGGTATAGGGTCAGGTGAACCGTATCTAACCGTGAGACATGGTACAATTCCTGCAGACACTGCGTACCTATCCGACCCGGCAACTTTACCAGGAATCGATTTACCCACCACATCATATCCGACGCGGTTGGTTGCGATTTCCAGTCGCCCAGGATCCAGCTTGCCCAACACTCCTATGCAAACGCGAAAGCCTGTTCGTCGCCCATCTCAACTGAGACGAACTCAACCCGTAGGTCTTCAGTCGTTTCCACCTCAATGGCCCACCGGGACTTCCGATCCAAATTGTGACCCAATGCTATCCGGAGCACCTCCAGGTCTATCTGATTCTGCGCTCTCTGTTCCGTTGGAGGAGAGTGAGCCATGCGAATTGGTGGATCGCATCCTACCGGGAGAAATGATGTCTGTTTCCGGAATCTCTGTTGATGGAACTGGATCGGAAGCACCTTTTCGTGGACGACTAATTCCAGCCTCTGGCCCCATTATGCTTTCCTCCACCCCGGTGACTCAACTCCCATATGATTCCCACACAATGCTTGAACGTCAGGTGCGTGGATTTATCAGTTTTCCATTTTACGTTGGTGTAGTGTGCCTTTTTCATATGGCGATTCTCCACGGGTTTCCAAAAGTTCTCATTGTGCTAAAACTTCCTATTGTCAGTCCGGTCTGATAATGCAGACTAAGGTCAGAATCAGATGAAAGATTTGTGAAAGTCGAATCGCAGTTGTGTGATGTAGTTTAATCGCAAATTTTAGGATTTCATGTCCACCAAATTTAAATTACTATTGTGTTGTATTATAGATGACTTATGCAGGCAACTGTGCCTACATTTCAGTCAAAAATGTGTTCACTGTTATAATGGGATAAAAAATGAGATAAAAATAATGTAAATCTTGTACTCTCTTGGCGATTTGTATCGAAAAATCGTCCTCAAATCAGTTTCATTTCGTGGTTTGCTCTGTACTTCCCTAGTTCATCCGTATTATCTACGTTACTGATGACAAGATGTCTAATTCCTTAAGTTGGATTAATAATGGCAAATAGTTATTCCCGTCGACAACTTGATGCCACGCTCATTGACTTTGTCATCTGGCGCCCCCCAAATCACGCATTCAGAACTTACAGCTGTCACAGAAAGACTGTGTTTCGTCATTATAGAAAAAATACAAGTCCTCTAAATTAGAACCAATCGCGAGACAGAAGAACCAATAATCCAGAATGAAATATTTCTGCGCTATCTTCTAACACTGAATGAAGTTCTTTGGAATGGTTTGGGGCTGAGATTGTTGAATGCCTTTTACCTAGTCATTTTAGCGCTTCGTAGCAGACTATTGCTGTTGAGATATGACCAGTTCTTATCTGTCTACGTAGAGGACACAGTTGAAGTGTGCACTAACGATTACGTCTGAGTATTAAACGCTGTTCAGTGTAATTTTCTCCGTTACTCCCAAACAAACCTGCTAGGTCAAATTTTTGATTCACTTTTATCAAAGTCAAAGTTTTATTATGCGCTGGCTTTTCTAGTCCCATAGGGTTTAGCACGGATGAATCAATTCACGGTTCACAGAAAGTAGACGAATGTCACCATTTATCCTTGTTTCGTGCACTGCCACGGATTTTTAAATTTGAGATTTGTCAAAGCTTCATTCAGTTTGTGCTTGAAGGAATCAATTGAGGGGTGCAGAAACGTGCGGTGATAAAGAATTCTAAGTAGTGCACACTCCGAGGGCGAACGAACGACGCTGGCTTTCTGGTCGGCACAACCACTTGTGAGTAGCGATGTAAGATAGCTGATTTTGTTTTTAAATATGAACCAATCCTCCCTCTGAATACGTCTCCATGCACCTTTGCGCTGTTATTTCCGCGAGTGCTGTTCACCTTTGGTCAAACAAATAAGCACTACACGTCATCAGAATAAATCATACTTACGCCTGTGTAAACGCCTAGAACTGCATTCATTCACATCGGGGAGAAAAGCCGCACTCGGTATCCATATTGTTTCTGTTCGGAATTGAACGCGAAAGAGTCGCAAGTTATTTGACAGTCAATTCGTGCGCGTAAACTCCAATTGGTAGTTTTTGGACATCGAAAGAGTGTGACAGACAAAGAGCTTCGGTAATATGCCAAGGTAAGGTTTCTGCTACAAATGATAGATGGAAGGATCTGAGCATCTAGGTCATTGGGTCATGAGTAAACCGGAAAGAGTATTTATAGTTTAAGAGACTATCAATTCCTTGAGGAAGAGTGAACTGGTTTTCATTAACAGAACAATGCCTGATTCGAAGTGTCTGAAGGTACCGAAAGAGGAATTAAAACTATAGCTAGAACCGAGACCAACCTTTGTCTTCGAACACCGTAACACCTCAGCACACTGATATCTAGATCTACAGCTGTACTAGCTGGATTCTACAGTTTACTGCATGATATGGCCCAGTAAAACGCTCAACCTGAATCCCACTGAACGTTGTTGTTGTGATCATATCAAGAAGAAAAGTGTAAAATAATGCTTCAAAAGCTCAGAAATTTGCACACTGTTATTGCTCAGAATGGCTACCCCGAACGATTTATCGCTAGGGCAATGCTAGAACACAAGGAACGGCCGAAGGAAATAGGAGCACCGAAAAAGTCTGTCTATATGCACCTACCGTTCAAGGGAGATACAGATGCAGAAGTCTTTCAAAGAAAGCTAACAAATACAGTAAGCAGAGCGTTTTACGCTGCATAATTCAAAGCTATGTTCGCATCTAGACCAATTATATTTCCGACTGAAGGACAGAATGTCAGATTCTGCAATCTCATTCTGTTTATATTCATTCACCTGTTCCTGTGGGACTGGGTACGTCGACCGCACGACCAGGCGCTTATCCGATCGCGTTCGCGAACACCACGTGGCTTGGTTGAGAACTGGAACAATTAAGACATTTACGAGCGCGGTGTGTTCGCATCTCGTTGAGTCAACTCACTCGGTAAACGTGGCAGGCGCGTTCCGACCGATTTACAAGGTTCGATGCAGGCAATCAAGAGCAGTGAAGGAAGCATCGTATCTTAGCCACGGCCGAAGCCGTAAGTACTCGGATTCACATCCCCCCCCCTTGTGCGCCCAGAAGAAATTTTTGCAAGCACTTAATCTCCCCTGGCCCACTTCAGCCACTCCAACAGGTGTGCAATCACTTGAACTTTTGACAGTGATCAATTTCACACAAACACACGCACTCATGATTGGAACCACAGCTGAATCATTAGGACTCGAATTTCTCAATCCATGTTTCGGTCATATTATTTGTCATATTTAATGTAAGTAATGACATGATTACGAATAACTGAAAACGAGCTTGTTCGCCACGCTGTTGTTCTAAATGAATTCTCCGAACTCAAGTGGTGTTTCCTATGTGATCAATTGGATATCATTGCTGTTACCGAAACGTGGCTGTCAGTTGCAATTAGCTATTCCCAACTCTACAAAATTTCTCTACTAAGAATCGGTCATCCCACATGTAGCTGTGATGTTTTACTTTATGCTCGGGACGAACTTCAATGCAAGGTAATCAATCCTGCGGTCTCGATTCATGACACACTTTGGTGTACGTTGTGACTCTCCAAGTACGATCAATCTTTGATCCCTCGCCAATCGAGGAGACGGTCGACGAAACTCTTTTTCAAACTATATCACGCGTTCTTACTCACAGATGTATCCATATCATCTTAATAGGTGATTTCAACTACTGAATCTCAATAAAATAATAACTGTCCATCTATTATTCTAATATCATTTCAAACGGGCGGTTGACTCGTATACATTACAACCGTGTGAAGGAGGCCATTAGGTTTCGAAACCTGCAGTCACTATCAGTACTAGATTTAGTGTTGAGCAACGAGGAGCAGAACCTATAAATGTGACTCCGGCCTTAAATGCAGCGATTTTGCACTACTTGCATTTAAATATATTTGTTACTTGTCTTATCAAGGAAGTTTTCGGGATCAAATGCGCAGATTCATAGATTATACACAATTGCAAAACTTCGCGCTCTCTACCCAGTGGGTTTCCTATGACGAAAAACTCAATCCACTGGTCCCTTTCCAGTATTATCAGAAGTCACGAAGGCTATTGTGGCAAATCCCTGATTGAACACGGAAAGATACAACACTGGACCCCATGGTCTAAGGTTTGACGCTTGCCACCGACATCCGGCTTCGGTGGTGGGCAGCTTTGCTGTCGTCCGGTTCTATACCTTGCCTAACCTAGCGGGGCTGTATGTGGTTCGCCACCCCAAGTCCTGGGGCTTAGGTTGCTGGTTTCCATCACTGAACAGCAGGTCCTCGTGACTATGCAGTTTACCCTGTTTACTCTTCTTCACACTAAAAAGGTTACAATATAAAAAAGTTCTTTCGAAAACGATCCTGTCCCACTAACTTGCTTTTTGTTCGAGATGAATAGACCAGAACAAATAACGAAGGGAATGCGATGGATGTGATTCATCTGGACTTCTCAAAAGCGTTTGAGCGGGTGAAACACCAGATACGGTTGTCGCATCTTTACACCTACGGCATTTGAAGACTCGTACTTGTTTGGATTTGAGCACGTGTCCAACAACGGATCATACCAACTCCCGTGTTTCTGATTCCCTATCCGGTTCTGTTAACGTTACCCACGGTGTTCCACAAGAGTCTGTATTTGGTCCCCGACTTTTCCTGACGTTCATAAATGATCTACCGACGGAGCTATGGCCAAAAGCAATAATGTTTTCAGGCGATACCAAAATCTGGAATACAGTAACGGAACCAGAGGGCTCACTATCACTTCAAGGAACATTGAACAGAGCTTATCAATGGTTTATGGAGAACGACATTGAACTCAATGTTTCTAAATGCTAAGTCCTATCCCTGTATCACAAGAGTAGATTCCCGTATTTAGTCGGAACGCAACAGCTACCACATGCCTCAATTGCGAAGGAATTATGCATAATTTTTCAAGAAAACTTTAGTTGCGTCAGAATTTGATTTGCTGCTGTGAAGAATGTCGGTTTGATTAGATGCGTCTTTGTTCGGTTTGAATCTGCATTGTTTCCACGTTTGCTATCAGTGTATATTCGACCATGTACAGAGTACATCATCCAAGCCTGGAGCCCATGATTGCAACGTGATCATAAGATACTGCAGTGTCCACAAACGATTGCCACCAAGATGGTCGATGGTTTGAACTACCTCACCTAGGAGTAGAGATTACGATCATTGGGACCACACTCTGCCCAGTACCGCCGAATTCGAGCAGACTTGATTTTGGTGTGTCAAATACTGCAGACCCCCAACTATGCCTTTCAGCCACTGCTCAAAATACACCTTAGAAGACATTGTTCCAAGTTACTGATTCCAAAGTGTCAAGTGGAATACGGGTGTCTATCTTCCGCCGTCAGAGTGAACGGAACGCTTTTCCATCTTACATCGATTGTGCACTAACTGTTGAATCTTTCCAACATAGTTTTGATAAAACTTGTAACGTCTCACGTTCGTACACAACTAAGAAAACGCAAATTAGTCCAAGACCAAATCATGTGTGCGATCAAATACCCGGAATTATAGGTGATATTTATCATTTTTGCCGAGAAACAATTCAACTGTGCTCAGAGCCTATCGGGAAATCAGAAGCATGAGTTTGTAAGTATTTCCCATGCT